TGTCAAAATGACTAAAATATAGGGATGACAAAATTCTGGCAAGGATACAGAGAAATTGGATCATTCATACTTTGCTGGTGAGAATGTAAAAGGGTACAGTGCTCTGGTAGACTAAACAAGCAACTATCATATAACCCAGCAATTGCACTTCTGGGCATTTATGAGGGAGAAATGAGAATTTATCTTCCATAAAACTTATAAATGAGTATCCATAGCAGCTTTATTCATAATAACCTTAACCTGGAAACAACCCAGATATCATTTAATGGGTGAATGATTAAACAAACTTTGGTAAATCCATACCATGGAGTACTACTCAAAAATAAACAAACTAGTGATATACACAACAACTTGCATATGAATCTAAAGACAATTAGGCCAAGTGGAAAAAGCCAACTTCAAAATGTTGCATATTATAAGATTCCATTTTGATAACATTCTTGAAATGCAAAATAATAAATATGAAGATCAGAGTGATATGGTTGTAGTTATAAAGGATAAGACAACGATGGAACTGTTCTGTAACTTGACTTATCAATGTCAATATTTTGATTATGATGTTGTAAAACAGTTTTTCAAGATATTATATTTTCAGGAAATTAAGTGAAGAGCACACAGAGCTCTCTGTATTATTTTTTAACAACTACATGTGAATTTATAACCATCTCAAAATAAAAATTATTTAAAAACCCGTCAACTCAGGAAAATTTTTTTTTATTTTTATGCTTATAAAACTGGCTAAATTTAATGATTCCACTAAGTCTCATTTGCTGCTGTAATATAATTTTACTACTACTAATGTTGAAAGCAGAGACTTTCTTATAAATTCAGAAACTACAAAAATCATGGAGCCAAAATGCACATTGACTTTTAGACCTTACTCATTTGACAGCATCTGATGCCTGGATAGGCCCACCACCAACACTATAGGGCTTGAACTCATGACATGTCTACAAACTGAGCCAGCCAGACACCCCAACTACTGTCTTCACTTTAGAATATATTTAATCTATACTTGTAATAAGTAATACAGTTATATAGTATAAAAGGGCATAAAGTAAAAAGTATCTTCTCATTCATTCCCTCAGCATATCAGTCCCACCCTTACCTCCCTATAAGTCACCAAAGTCCTCCACAGGTATTGGTATATATTCAAGCTAATATGTGTGTTCTCCCATCCACCTAACCCATTTCATTTTTCATAACTGTCACCATATGTATAACTCTGCCTCTTGCATTTTCACTTAAGTCTTCAAAAACTTTTGATCTCATTACAATTGCTCGCTTTTTGTCTTTTATTTGTTTGTTTTGTTTTGTCTTAATAATTGTATGATAGACCATGGTATGAGTATATACTTAGGTCATTTCTGATAATTCGCTTCAATGTTCAAGCAACTGGTTTTGCGTATCTGGCATCTGCATATCTCTAGAGTAAATTCCTAGAAGTGGAACTACTTGATCAAAGGTTATGTGCTTCTACGATTTAGGTAAATACTGACAAGTGGCTCTTTATAAAAGTTGTCTCAACTTGTACTGTCACAAGCCTGTTTCCCTCTGCCTTCTTCAATACAGTGAGTAATTTTTTTTTTTATCTTTGTCAATCTGACAGGTGAAAAAGCTCCCAGTGTAAGCATTTCATTTAAAGATAACAATCAATGAATCTTCTGTGAAAAGATACCTTAGTGCATGAATCACAAGGAAATAATGTGACCTTCAAGACTGAAAACAGATCTCCAACAACTGATCCTGTGCATTTAAAACTACCCTGTAGCCCAGTGTCTGGGGCTTGTTATTCACAAAGAAATATGAGAAAATCACTATTGGTCAAAGTTAGTATTTAAGTAGGTAAATTCATTAAAAGTTTACCATATATGTCCAGAACAGTAGTTAGGACTTATTTTAAGCTACAAGGGAAACTGGAAATAAATATAAAGATTCCTGCCATGTAACTTTAAATGTTTTCTTGCAGGGCACCTGGGTGGCTCAGTCAGTTAAGCGTCAGACTCAGGCTTAGATCATGATCTCACAGTTCGTGAGTTCGAGCCCCATGTCCGGCTCTGTGCTGGCAGCTAGCTCAGAGCCTGGAGCCTGCTTCGGATTCTGTGTCTCCCTCTCTCTCTGACCCTCCCCTGTTCACGCTGTCTGTCTGTCTCTCGCTCTCTCTTTCAGAAATTAAAAAAAACCAAAAAACTAAAAATAAATGTTTTCCTGTATCAGACTATGCCCACAGGTTTCTGTTAATGCCATCTGCTCAGAAACCATTTTAATATTACTCTGCATGGAATATATTAATATATCCAAACATGCATATGTATGTAGTAATAAAGAGTTAACACACTACCCAAAAGAAGTAGAGAAGTAAATTGAGAAGTAAAAGTTTTCAGAGCTTTTGATAATCAGTAAGGTCTCTTTCAGGTCTATCATTCTAAGTTAATGACTTTTTAATTACCTGGGTAATAAACCCAGAGTTCAACACAATACACATATTTTTTACCTATTCATACACAAGTTTTATTTTATGACAGGACGACCAGTATTTTCTAACATGCACACAGCAAAATTTGAACTCTGATCGCTGGGTAAATTTATGATTACAAATATAATAGAGTTTTGGTTTTAGTAATTATTCTAACATATCTTAAGTTAATAATTGACAAGGCATTTCATTTGATTATTGGTATCTCAAATAGCTATTAGCCAATTTAAAAATTCTTCTACTATCTGCTATGATTTGAATGTTTGTGTCCTCCATTTCAAATTCCTGTGTTGAAATTCTAACCTGAAGGTAACCATATTAGGAGATGAGGCCTTTTACGGTAATAAAACTAACTCCAGAGAGCTAACTAGCTCCTTATAACATGTGACGACACAGTGAAAGTCACCATCTATGAACCAGAAGGCAGGCTCTCACCATACACAAAATCTGCTAGTGCCTTGAATTTCTCAGCCTCCAAAACTATGAGAAATAATTTTCTGTTATTTATAAAACACCCAGTGTATGGTGTTTTGCTATTAGCAGCCTCAACAAACCAATACAGTATTTCTTATTTATGTTATTATTTGAATGAAAGAGCACTTATTTTTTGGAAACAGGAATAAATATGTTTCTTAATGCCATTAAAATACTATCTGTTCAGTTAACATATATGGAAGTACAGAGTAATTCTTGAATCAAGAACACAACATACAATCAGAAAAAAAGATTTGTCAATATAAGAGACTGTCTTCCTTTCAAAATAGTGTTAATTGCTGCCTTCCTAAAAAAAAAAAATTACATGTTTCACCTGGATGAAAATGGCCAATGAATATATTTTACTCCAATAAATCAACATGTATCACTGATCATGTGGATACAAGGGTACGCACACAAAAATGAAATATGATTCTGATGATCGAATATGCCGAATATAAGGAGACAGGTACTCTTCAAGGAAAATCCATTGCATCAAGTACCTATTAAGCGCTTACTAGTAAGTCAAACCTAGTAAGAGGCGTCAAAGACAAACGTAGGTCTGCATCTGAACACTGTTGTTGTGGAAATGAAAGGAGGCAAGGTGGGGTACGAAGTTCTGTAAGGTTGCTTCCTTGGAGAATGACACTATCCTAAAGCAAACACTTTGTTTCTTGTTATCTCCGAAAAGCAACCAGGCATAAAAAGCTTTAAAAAAAAAAAAAAAAACCCTGGATGATGAGGCTCTTAAACGCAGTCCACAAAGCAAACCCTCCAGTCCCCTTCGGGTTTCTGGGTAGGGAACTATACAAACGGTGCCGACTAAGAAAGGCTGGGTCTACCTTTAAGGCCTGGAAGGTAACAACCCGACTGGGAGAAACGGACGCAGCCTCATTTGCATAAGCACCCAAACACTGCTGACGTCACCGCGCCAGAGTGCGGACCCCGCCCCGTCTTACTCCAACCTTTCCCTGGGCAGGATGGGGATGCAAACCGGGGAGAGCGCGAGACGCCACGGAGCGCGAGCCTGGGGGCTTCCCGCGCCCACACGCGGCCACGGCCCCTCCTCGACTCAACGGAAACGAATTCCCGCTCTGGCGGCCTCTGCGGCGGGAGGGGCACACCTGTCCCCGGGGTGTCCCGGCTCGGCGCTGCGATTCGCTCACAATGTCTAAGGCTCCTGTGCCTGTGTGTCAGGATCCGAAAGCCCCTCCCGGCCCAGGCCGGGCACACACAGGCCACGTGAATGGTGTGGAACCGGTCTGGGTGATCCCATTCCTCCCGCCCTCTCCTTGAAATCGCCGCACCACCGTCTCACCGCCACACTCTCAAATCCCGGGATGCGCAGCAACACGCCGGCCGTGCTTTCTTCCGTAGCCACGTGCCTGGTGCGGCCAAAGGCCCACGTTAGGACCAGTAATCGCAGGACGCCTCGGGCGAAAGGGGACGGGGGTCACGTGAAGCGCACACCGCCGGGGGCAATCGCGTTTGACGGTGGCCAGAAGCGACGAGCAGCGGAGGAGGAATGAGCCCGGCTCCTCTCCCCGCCCCACCGCCCACTCGCACCGGGATCGGCTCCTAACTCCCCTAGAACCTCGCAAGCGCGTCGCTGCGTCCCGACCCTACCAACTTTCGTCTCGGGTGTGCCCGGTCCGACTCCCCCCGCCCCCGCCCCCGCCCCCAGCACCGCCCGCCCCGATTTGACTCGGAAACGACTAGGATCTCGGGGATGCTGTAGGCGGTTTCCACGACGAGCAGGAAGGATGGCGGAACGTTTCAACCCATGTGCTTCCCCTACTCGCTGCTCTCGTCCCCCCCCCCCCCCCGGGCACAGGTGCAAGGCACAGCCTGAAAGGGTCGCCTGCTGAGCCCAACTTCACCCTCAAAAGCTTTAGAGCCGCCACCCCTCCCCTCCCCCAAGGACCCAGCCCAAGTCCTTCCCGGGATCCGTCCGTCAGGTCCGCTCGCGTCCCGGTCCCCGGGGAGGCCGCCCGAGCCCCGCCCTGCCTCACACCGTGCCCTTAGCCGTAGGAGCGTGTCATTACCGTACCCGTGTCTCCACCGGGCGCGTCTCCCTCCTTCCGCGTCCCGCAGCAGCAGCAGCGGCAGCGGCCAAACGGTCGGGTCCAGGCGGCTGCGACAGAGGCCGCGAAGGAGCGGTCCAGAGGGGAGCGGCTGCTGGGCTCGGGCGGGCCCTGCGGCTGGGCTGGGTCGGGGTGGGTCGCCGCCCTGGGCAGGCCGGCTGCGAGGGGCGCCCGAGCGCGGCTGCGGCTGCCGGGGCAGGAGCACGAGATGCGGGCGTGCGGCTGTGTGTGAGGGTGTGAGCGAGGGTGTGACGGAGGCGCCCACGTGCCCGGCCCGCCCGCGCTGCGGCCGCCGACCGGCTGCGAGGGAGCGGGGGAGGCTGCGGGCGCCGCGGGGGCGGGGAGCCTGGCCGCCCGGGGGGGGCGCCGCACCTCCCCGCGCCGCCGCTCCTTGACGCAGAGGCCGCTGCGGCTGCCCGGCCGCGTCCAGCCTGCGCCCCGGGGGGGTGGGGGGGGTAGTGGGGAGGGGGCAGGCGCGGCACCGACCGGGCCGGTACGCGCGCAAGCAAAGGCGAGCGGGTCCCCGCCCCCCGCCCCGCCATCCCAGCCCCCCTCAACCCATCCAACGCAAAGGACCCGCACCAGTTGCCCGCCCCGCGCCTTTGTCTCAACGCGGATAACAATAGAAACGGTCCTGCCTCCAACCCTCGAAGAGTCTCCTAGAGTCGGTGGCGGGACTAGAAGAAGTGGGTGACCCAAAGAAGCCTTTTCCCTAGCTGTACCTCCAAGCCTGTGCATTTACATCTCTTGCAAAAGAAAAGCAGTCTGGGCATTTGTTTCTCCACCAAATGTTGGCCTGATAGCGCTCAGGGGTTCCGGCCAGGTTAGGAAAGGCTGTTTCAGGGAGCTGGTCCTCACCCTGTGTGGATCCCTTAACGTCCGACTCTTCCTCCCGGGGTCTCCTTAAAACAGGAAGGCTGACTCACTTCTGTAGCAAACAAGACGTACATATAATTAAGCCACGTGGAGAATCTCTAAACTATACATCAATGAGCACAAAGCTTAGCTTTCATTTGAAAATGGCTGAATCTTCCCCTAAACAGGGCATATGCTCTAGAGATTAAATTGTATGTCCTTGAAACTTTCAAAACGGAAAGAAATGCAAAATAAGCCTAAAACCAATTATAGCGGAAAGGTTCAGTGACTTGATGAAGGGCATTTTTTCACTTCCAAACGATTAATGTTACTACTGAAAAATACCTTTGTGCACTTTTGGGCATTTCAACAATCCCTTAGATTTTGACGGTTTGTATCCAATTAAGACTGAATTAAATAACAAGGCCATTTCAGACAGGTTTTTCATACAGTGAGAAATCTCCTGGAAAGAAATCACAAGACCTACATTTCAGGTCAGAACACTGCTACTAATCCTTAGCTTTTAATGCAGCCAAGAGAGCTTTATCTTGGTCTCTTCCAATCTCATCTTTAAAGTATTTTTAAGTATTAAGTTAGATCTGATTCCCTAGATCCTCCTCCCCTGCCATGGGTAAATAAATACTCTGACAGATGTCCCACGGGGAAAAAATAAAAACAGGTCCAATAAACCTCTTATGAAACATCGTGTATAATTTGCTTTTTACTTCACATACTGGTGACAGGCAAATATTTCTGTTGATATATGTCATGTTTTATATTCTGAAATTGATATACAGTGGAAATAATACTAATAACAACTGAGAAGAATTAAAATAAGTGGAGCCATGTCCCCCATAATCAGGATTAGGCTTATCTGTGGGAAAGTTTTTGTATGCTTCCAAGAATGGTTTATAGCAGTACAAAGAAGGCCTAGTTGCCTACAAATATTCCCTCCTTACATTTTTTTCACTGACAATTGGCCCCTACCTCAAATACATGTGTAAAGCTACAAATCACAAAATATTTGTGGAGTGATACCCTCAAAACTGACTAATACTAATTCATGTCCTAAAGCCAATGAGAAATAAGAGAAAAGCAGCTGTTAAGTTTCCCACTAAGTACCTGGAGCTTTAAACTAGTACATTTAATCTTCTTAATTAATTAATGAGGTGATTTTAGAGATTAGATGGAGGTGATACTCAAGAGAAAAAAAATTTGTGAAAAGCCACACAGCTAGCTCGCTGTCAGAATGGAGATCTTAACCCAGATTCGGGTGGCTTCAGAGTTAATGTTTTTTAATGCTATCTTGTATGCCTTTAGTGAATGTATAAATTTTAACAGGAGGAAAGTGTAGAATTAACACAAGACCTAGGCACCTTTGAAAATAAGAAGTGGAGGGGTTCCCCGGGTGGCTCAGTCAGTTAAGCATCTGACTCTTGATTTTAGCTCAGGTCATGATTTCACAGTTGGTGAGTTTGCACCCTGAGTAGGACTCCATGTTGACACTGAGTAGCCTGCTTGGGGTTTACTCTCCCTTTCTCTCTGTCCCTCCCCTGCTTGTGTTTTCTCTCTATCTCTCTCTCTTTCAAAAATTAATTAATTAATTAATTTTTAAAAAGTGGACTCAAGTGGGGGGTGGGGATGGAAAGATCCCAAAGGAGAACCTAGAAACTGCAAAGAGGTAAAAAGTATCTATTTCTAAATTTTAACAATAAAGATCCTTCAATGATCTAAAGTCCACTTGCTAACATCTTTTAGCTAACAATTATTGAATGCTTGCTTTGTCACACAGGGAGAAAACTGACCACATGGTGGTTTGTGAGAGGAAGAGGCAGAAGGCAAAAAGCAGGATTTAGAAGATTTTAACCTACAAGTAAAGGAAGATTAGTCTTTTTGGCCACACTTCATTTAATTTAAGTATTGATTCGAAGTTAAGTGTGTACTTTTGCAATGTACAGAGTAATTTAAATGCCGTATTTTTCTTAATTCTTACACCAACCCTATGCAGTAGATATAGTTACTAGCCACACATGGCAAAAGAAAAAAAAATGAGACTTTGTCCATGTTTATAGTTAGAAGGCATCTATTAGATACTGTAAATAAAAATCCTTCCCTATCTAGATCACTGTCTGAATTTGATATCTACATTTAAGCACCAAATCCCTCAAAATGACAATATTATACAAAATATTGTATTTTGTGTACAAAGATAAGGGTGCCTGGGTGGCTCAGTTGGTTAAGTATCCAACTCTTGATTTCAGCTCAGGTCATGATCTCACAGTTCATGAGATCGAGGCCCACATCTGGTTCTGAGCTGACAGCATGGAGCCTGCTTGGGATTCTCTCTCTCTCTCTCTCTCTCTCTCTCTCTCTCTCTCTCCTCCCCTGCTCAAGCACTTGCACTCTCTCTTCTCTCTCAGCTCCTTCTGTCTCTCAAAAACAAATATTAAAAAAGAAAAAACTCTCAAAGATATAACACCAGTGTTCAGAAACACTATGCAAATATTTACCAAAAAAAAAAGATTTAAAAATTTCAGTACTAAAAGAAAACATTAAATCAATTCACACCATGATTTTCTGTTAATTCATTTTTTAAATTTGTTATATATGTAGTATGTTGTGGAAATTACTTTTTATTCCGATAAAAACTTAATGTATTATTTCCCATATTAAAAGTTATTTGATACATAGTTTCAAAATTTTTATGACACCAATGTTTACATAATCCCCAAATATCTAGTGAATATTCCATTTATCCTACATTTTCTTGACTGGTGTAGGGCTGAGAGTACAAGCAAGGTTACTAGATTAACTAATCTCTCTATAGGGAAAGGATGGGTTAACTAAAATGACAAATGTCAAAGCAATCAAATCAATTGGTATGATTTACAAACTCACAATATTGTTTTCAACAATTTCAACAATCATTTGAGGAAAATAGGACAAATAATTTGTTCTTTTGATTTTTATGAAAATAAATGCTTGCAATTTTTCTCTGACATCTTTCCTAACTCTTTATCTGTCTTCTTTATATTGTTTCTAAATGTTAATAGGTTTGGAGCTCTGTCCTTGGTCCTTATGGCTTTTTTTCCCCCTCAATACTCTCCCTAGGTGATTTCATTCAATTACTTTTTTTTTCATGTTCAATTTTAAAAATGGTGATATTAAAATACTTAATTTTCTGTAACGAAAAACTATAATTGTCACTGACCAAAGGAAATTAAGCCTAGAGACGACCAGTGTTCCAGGAAGAGAGCCAGAGTGACTGAAGTAGGCAAAAGGAGGCACTTGGGGGACTTAGACACAGCTATATTTCCAGCAGTATGAAAATATTTCAATATTCTTTCCACTGGTACAGCTGAGTAATGTGTGATAACTGAAAAACATTCTTCATGTTGAAGTGTGTTTTTGGCATATGCTATTTCTGATATTAATGAAATTTCATTACTAATATACTGAGTCAAATCATGAACTATTTCACCCAACAAATATTTATTGGTACTTATTATATAGTAGGCACAGTCATAGGTGCTTGAAATATATCAATAAACAAAGTAGATCTCTGCCTTCATAGAATTTATAACTAGTGGGGTGGGGCAAGGAAAGGCAAACAATTTACGGTAAACATAATAAATCAATTATATAATATGTTTAAAAGAGCTAAGTGCTATAAAATTTTTTAAAAAGATAAAGTAGGCTAAGGGGGTTAGGACATTCAGGAGAAGGAGGGTGAGCATCAATTTTAAACTGAGTGGTCCAGATAAGTCTCACTGAGATGTTATGAGAGCAGAGACTTGAAGGACTTGCATAAGTTGACCTTACATACGTTCAGGCAGAAGAGTCAGTCAGCGAAAAGGCCCTGAGAGGAGTTTACCTTGCTTGTTGGAGGAACAGAGAGGAGACCCAGAGAAAGCAAATTCTTGCCTTACAGTATAAAAGTTTTATGGTTTTTAAGCTTTAATTCCTTTTATAAACTTTAAGTCATAAATTTTCTGGTGTTCACACATGCTTTCATTCATAGAATAAATCCTACTTGACTATGATGTACTATTATTTTTTTATTTAAATTGATCCTACTTTTTCATATTTTATTTAGACTTTTTCATCTATATACAAAAATGAAGTTGTGATTTGTTTATGTTCACCTTACATTTTTTTTAGTCTAAGTTATTCTAACATTGTAAAACAAGATACAGAGTTTACACTCTTCATCTCTCAAATACTCTTACAT